AACACAAATTGGGTGAACACTTTTGCAACCCACAGTATTTCTTCATTTGTGTTTATTTTGTACCGTATTTGTGACAACTAAAAATAAAAGTGAGATCATTTGTTTACCCAGATACAACATGTTCATCCCCCAAAATTCCCAACGCCTTCTGGGCCAACGCCCACATTCAGACGTATCGCCCGAGGGACACGATCGATTCCATCCAGTGTAAACRAGGCTACAAACTCAGCGGATCAAAATACATTACCTGCAGCAATGAGGGTCAGTGGAAGCCGCAACTTCCATCATGTCAGCTTCAGCCTCAGCGCCAGCCTCAACGCCAGCCTCAGCGCCAACCTCAACGCCAGCCTCAGCGCCAACCTGAACGCCAGCCTCAGCGCCAACCTCAGGGCCAACCTCAGGGCCAGCCTCAGCGCCAACCTCAGGGCCAGCCTCAGCACCAGCCTCGAGTTCAACGCCAACCCTGTAAGTAATCACCTGTTGAGTGAATTACCTTGTTTCCACAATATTCTTCAGTCAAGTTTTACACTTGCCTTTTGTTTCAGCATCTTACCGTGTGAGAGTGCAGTACAACACAAGTGGCTAATCTGCTACCGGTACTTAAAAGTGTGATCCTGCAATATTCAATCCAACCTGCATAAACTCCTCCACAACAATTAGCTGAGGATGAACCAAATCATTTGAGCTAAGCATGGCTACATCATTCAGTTTAAAATCAACCTTTATTAATGCACTATGATATATTTTTGCTCCAGTTACTTTGTATGTCATTGTTATAATATAAAGACATTAAAAATGTTGAAAATGAAGCTGAAGTACAGTATATTTATTTCTGATAAGTGTCTCGGGCAGTAACAAATACAGAATAGTTCCTCTGTACATAAGCTGTTTTTTTATTGTTGTTTTTTCCCCTCCGTTTCCCATGTTTTTACAGTTGATAATGTGTATCATCTTTATCGACTAAAACGGTGGGTGAGCATTGCATGAACAAACAAGCTACAAGAAAATAAGGACACCATTTCCATTCATTTAAAAAGACAATACAAAACAAACCTCCAGACATTTCTTTACATGAGCAAGAACATTTCAAGTGCAAATATCATTATCAACTCCGATACATCAAAGCAAACGCTCGCTGGGAAGGCAACGATTTAAAAGGAAATTATTAGGTTGCAGGAAAGCTCATTCTGGAAAAAGGAGGAGGTGGTGGAGGGGGTGTTTGGGAGGGCATGTGGGCCAAATGAGCACATGAAGRTGAGTAGAGCTGCAAAACATCTGCCACAGAAACGACCGTAAAAGTAAAAATTGTGTGGATTTTTTTTATGAGCGAGTGGCCCAACAATTACCCTCAAGTTTAACCAGGAGGTCAAATTCCCTTTGCATCATCAGTAAGGTCCATGATGTGTGGCGTCCCGGCAAACAGATCTGTATTTACACCAATAGGGACAACACATACTGTATGTTTTTACCAATGGGCAAGCTTGTTTTTAGTTTATAAAATATTTAATAAACTGTAGTGACTGAACATTTAGTTATTGTTGATTTGAACAGAACATCCTTGTGTTCATCAGGATTCTTGCTTATTCCAAATTTTATTTTATTTTATTTTATTTACAAAGACTCTGCTTTTTCAACGTGAGGATCTGAGGAAGAATTTAACAATCCCCCAAAAATCTGAAACTGCCTTTTTTCACCAATTAATACATAGTTATTAGTAACATTTTACATAAAATTTGTGTTATTTTTGAGAGAGACAGAGCCAGGGAAKTTTTGCTCTTAAAGAGATAATTTGGGGTTTTTTAGGTGAGGTTGTATAAAGAACTAATAAGTAGTCTGGTGTAGACAGCAGTTGTGTGTGAGTCCTGCTAAATGCTGCTCAGGACTGAGCATGTGTGGATTTTTGYCACCATAACAGCAAKGAAACAAAAACAACTCACAAAGCAAAACTTATCTGGCCCAGTTCTGGCCCACACAACGCACTAATGCTCGGCCCAGATATATGGGGCACCAGGTGTAAAATAAAATGATGAAACACGTCACATTTACACTACTTAGCTCACTTTCTGACTGTAAAATCCTAGTCAACATTTCATTTTTATTTAGCTCACTGTTCCTACAATTTACTAATTTTAACTATAAATGTTAAATAATGTATGTACAAAYAAAATCCTACATATAAACATAAACGTTAGATCATAAATGTTGTGGTTAAATTTTGAAGTTTAAGCATTTTGGAATGGAACACAGCCTTTGCTGCTCATCCTTTGTTGTGACATCATCATCCTCAGACAATAGCAACTGCTAATGCTGCTAACAAGCTAATCCTTCCCTACAAGACATCAAACTTGCAGTTGTGTGTGTGTGTGTGTGCAGTTGTGTGTGTGTGTGTGTGC